CGGGCTAACATTGTTTATTACTTTTTGTATTCAAGGTATCTCGAATGAATTATTACAAGCAATAATATAATCAAAGGTAATGAATAAAAAGCGATGAAACTAAACATCAGACGTTACACCTCATTCGTTATTGGTCACATTATCTCATTCTCGAATGATTGATTTTATTCGCATTTTTACGGCTCTTCTTTTTTTCCTTTCTCTCTCTCTCACTCTCTCTCTCTCTCCATTAATAATTTGTACTTCTCTATTGGCGCAATCCCTTGCCTCTCTAGTTTCTAAGAAACCGGTTGATTGCTTCACCAACGTCGACAGATTTGCGAGGTTTTACTATACGTTATCTTTACGACGATAATAATGTCAATGAAACGATGCGACTCGACTCGTATGGGTAACAGTCTTCGATGTCGCTCGATAAACAAATTTCATCATGTACAATAAATTAAAAAAGAAAAAGACGATGACAAAATTACATGGAAATCAGTGTGAAACAGAGATTACCATAGCGTAAAAGAATCAAATAAAGAATTTCATTGCATCTATCGAATAAACAAACGATCCCTGGAAATTCCTCTTTTAGAAAGCGGAAGTCTAAATGGAAAGACATTCGAATTCGGCGAGTGCTTTTTTCGTGTTGAGATCATTTTTAGCATGGTATCTCGTTCATTCCACCCATAATTCTTTCATAGGCGTGCGTGTGGACAAGAGGAGGAGGATAAATTGAGGAAAATAAATCGAGTCGCATCGTTACGAAGATCGTTATGCTAACGACGACAATATTAATTAGTCGTCGTTGACATTAACGCGCTCGGTTCAATAAAATCTGGTTGATTAACAGTAAAATGAACGTTTAGTCGTAATAATTCTCTTTCTTTCTTTTTTTTTCCATTTTTACCAGTCGATAATTATACACTGTCTTTCTAAATGGATGGTTATCTGGGAATATACAAAGTATGTAGAAAAAGAAGGGAAAGTAAAACGTTTCTTTTCCTATTAATTAAAATGCTTCGCCTTCGTAAATATGTGAACGTATCTCGCGTAATAGCTAGGATCGCACAACCGACGGTTTTAGGGCGTATCTTCATGGGGAAGCGGTAAAATTCAATGCGTGGGCATAACCAGTGCAATCGTACGGGGGATTCGAGACAAACGGAGACGAGGATCGCCCTTCTGACCCTTTGCATATCAAATTTCTTTCGTCGAATTACTCGATTTTTTTCTTTTATCGCGAATTTTTATCGTTCCTCCGTGTATCAGAGTTATCGCATCTTTCATAGAAAAGAATTGATAACCGACAGGGAGTCGAATGACAGAGATCAGATAAACGAAATACGATAATCTACGATTTTCTACTTTTTCAATAATTTTAAACTTAAAACATTACAAAACAAGTCTTGGTCAGTTTACGTGTCTATCGTTCAACTGTCAGCTGTTCCTGAAACCGTGAAGTAGAGAACTTCAACGGACAGAGCAGTTGACAAAGAAGAGAGGAGCTATTATTTTCATGTTTCTCAGTCGTCGACGACTATTGAAAGCTCGAAATGGAAAAACTGATCGCAAAGCGTCGAGAAATGGAGGGTCGAGCCTCGTGGTCTTGTGGCATGGGCAAAAATAGGTAAAATACACGCAGAAATTTCATAGGTACGCCTTAAAACCGGCGGCAGAATCGATGGATTACCGCCAGGTTAATATTCCTCCTTTACTTTTAATCGTAATGTATCGTTATAATGTTCGTATAACAATAAAGCAATATGCAAATAGTATGAAGACTTTTTTCCCCGAAGGTGACTGCTCGTGTGGCGCGTTCCGTGCATCGCGCGAGTGGAGTTATCATTACGTATAACAATAAAACATTGCACTTTCACCTGTTTCCGTATATTTCTTTGTTTTTTTCCTTTTTTTCTTTTTGTTTCTGCTTTTGTCTTTCGTTTACTTCTACTCGTCTATTCCTTCATCCTCATCGCGATTCGTATTTTTCCTGCGCCACCGTATCACGCGGTCGCGGAACCGGGCGCGGAAAATCGAAATACGGTGAACGATGCTAGATTCGACGATTATTTTTCTTTCTAGTGCTTTTTTTTTCTTTTTTTTCGTTCACTTTTTTCTGTTTTTCCTTTAATTCTTTTATTGCTGATCGACGCGGTGCAACGTTTCATCGCCGTCTATACAATAATACGCTATTTAATATAATAAATTATCTTTCATATAGGTATAATATATTATCCGGCAAGATAATATATTATTCTTGAATAGTTATTCTCTTATGACGCGAGCTTGTAGCGCGCCTGGTTCGCGTGTCTACGAGCACACGTCCCAAAGTCAAGTCGTTTTCTCGCGAGTTTATTTTCTACTTCTACTTCTTTTTTTATTTAACATTTTCTTTGTTTTTTTTTTTTTCTTTCTTTCTTTCTTTCCATCTTCCTTTTCCCTCTGTATAATCTACGATTTTCTCCGCGTTGCGTTTACGCTGACAGAGACGTTTCGAACGTCTCCTAGCGGCTCTTTGGAAACGACCGGACTTGGAACCCGTTGCGTTTGCACGAAACATCCGCTCCGAGCTTCTTCCGACGTTTTTCTATTCGTCGATATAGTAACCAAATACAGCTTAACCCTATCGTACGATTCGAGAGAACGGGAAATGGCCGGACACGGCTTAACTCTTCGAGGATCATCGAGCGGGCCGCCATCTTGTTCTCCTCAGCTTGTCGCAAGTTCTCCGGCGCTGTTGGCCGAACTTCTGTCCGATTTCCGTGTTACCGTGCTTCTCTTGCCACGTCTTGTTCTTGTCTTACTTCACTCGATTTTATCAGAATGTTCCATTTGCGTGGTTGATGGTTCAATATTTATAAAATATCGCGTGTCGGTACGGAGATGCGAGCTGAATATTCATCAAGCCTGGAAGAGTTAAGAGGAGCCTATGGAAAAACAAGATACAAAGTCGGCTTGTTTTCCGTGGTTCGCTCGAATCGTTTCAGTGCAGTCGTGTGTTTCATTTCTTTTTTATTTTTTACGTTTTTTTTTTTTTTTTTTC